ATATATATATATATATATATATATATATATATATATATTATGCATGCACGCCCATCTCTAGCCTTCGACATGAAATACGGTTATAATGCATTACTTTGTGTGTATAAGACGGAGAAAAGCAGGAAAAAGAGTTATATTTGGGGTGTATGTACCTGGGGCTCCACAATAAAAGCAGGTCTTGAGCGTTCGAGTTCATCCATAGCCTTTTTATATTCTTCTTCCATCTTCTCGTCTGCACTAAACCTCTCCGAGACCAACTCTCTCTGCACCTGCAAATATAATACATATATACATATATATATATATATATATTTGTATGTATGCATGTATGTATGGATATTGTCTTCTGCCTCCTCTGCTCTCTTTTAGGCGTCTATACAACAGCTAATGTTCTGCGTGTTGTTTAGAGAGGCTCCCTTCTGAGGGTTTAGGGTTTAGGGTTTTGGGGTGTACCATGAGGTCTTCATCGAAGTCTATAAGAGCATCAAATATTTGATGTGAAAGGACAGGGGCGTGGCGGGTGCCGCTGTTAAAGGAGACACATCCTTTATGTATAGCTGCAACTTTTTCTGCTGCTGCTGCTGCTTGAGTTTCTGCTGCAGTCAAGGGTTGCTTCCTTGCTGCTGCTGCTGCTGTTGCTGCTGCTGCTACAGATGCAGCAGCACCAGATCCAGGCAGCTGCTTCGGTCGTATATGAAGGGGGGGATATGTACTTTGACTTCTTTCATAGTTTTCTACTAATGGAGGTGTAGAGCAAAATAAAGGAGAGTGCAGCAGCAGAAGCTGCTGCGTGTTTTTCAGGTGTACAGCCAGCTCATAAACAAAGTCTCGTTCAATTGCCTGAGGAGGAGGCGTCTCTTTAATTGCTTTTTTTAAAGATAAAAATGCAGCACGAGACCACAATGTCCCTGCATCGAGGTGAGGATACACCTGAGAAGCTGCAGGAGCAAAATGATGAATGATTGTGGGGTTTTCATCTGTAAGCCCCCAGCCAAGAACAAAAGGCTTATCTGATACATCTCCCAGCTGTATCTTCAGCTCCTGTAGCAAAGCCTCAAAGGTCTTGGGGTCTATTCGAGTGTATGCAGAGCATATAAACACAAATTGAATTTCTTCGGGGAGGCTCTCTGCCTCTTCAGCTAACCATCTTCCTAAAGAGACTGCAGCTCGTCTCTTAGAGCCACCCCACAGCAGCAGGGCCTCATCCCGAAGCCTCAGGTTTCTTTGAGGGATAGATAAGGTATATAATAACTGATGAATTAAATTGCTTGCTATATGCGACTCCAGCACGGGCTCGTTGTCTACTATGAACAAAGTTTGTTGCTGCAGCAAAGGCAGCGCCTTGTCTATCCTCTCCATTGTCTTAGGCACTGGGCCCCTAGGGATATCAGACCCGTTTGCTGCTGTTTCTGTAGCAGCAGCAGCAGCAGCAGGAGGGGGAGGAGAAGCAGAAGCTGCTGCTGCGGCTATGGACGGCACCAGCAGCAACGACACATGCTGGAAAGGCTGCTGCTCGATGCATCCATGAGGAGACAACAGAAGCAGCAGCAATGACTGCAGCAGCAGCACCCGCTGCAGCAGCAGCAAAGGCTGCAGCAGCAGCCGCCTCAACGCCCAGAACTCCATGAGTGCTGCTGCTCGCGTCTCAGCAGCAACAGCCGCAGCAGCAGCAGCAGCAGGAGGAGAAGAGCTGATAAAGCAGCGACAATGCGAGTATTGTAATAATAAACTTTAATTATAATTTATAAACTTAAATTAATATTGAATATCTCCTTGAATACCTTCTAAGACTGCGAGACAAGCCAGCGGAGGGGCCCCAGCGCTGCTGTGGCTGGGTGGAGGTTTTAGAGTTAAACTGCACGAAGATTTGTTAATATTTCAAGATAAAAAACAATTAAATTTATTTAAAAAGATATTAAAATATAATTCATTTAATTGTCAATAAATACCCCCTACAGTTCAATACCAGTGGGGGCTTCATTGAGCGTCTCGCAGGGGGGGGGGCCCCCCAGGGCCTACTTGCTGCTGCTTGCTGCAGCTGCTGCGGCTGCTGCAGCTGCTTGTTGCTGTGTGTTTCTGCTGCTGCAGCAGCGAGTTTGATTGCTTTTGTGTGTTATTTGATTTTGTTATTATTTATATTATTTTTTAATTTTATTTAAAGCCCCTCTCTGCTTCTTCAAGTCTACCCAGCGAGCACAACCACCAGCAGCACCACTAGCTGCAGTGTCTGCTGCTGCTAGTGCTGCTGCTACAGCAGCAGTTGCCTGCTATATTTAGTTAATAAATGATATTGTTGCTGCTGCAGATGCTGCTGTCTCCTGCTATGTCTGTTAACACACTTTGCTGCTAAAGACAGAAACAAAGACAGGAGAGGGCGCTTCAAGTTTAGTCTCTGTTTGGGGCTTTAAGAGCAAACAAATTGCGTAAAGGTTTGTCTTGTGCATGCATTTGCCTTTCAGGTGTATCGGCATGTGTGCATGCAGAGAGCAGATAGCAATTGTTTTGCTGCTGTAGATATTTTAATTGTTATCAATGTCTGATACTGTAAGACAGGGAGAAGAGTTAAAGATTCTTGTAGAGTATTTCTTAGCATGCATTTAAACTTGGGGCTTAAAGGCAGCAACAGATTAGGCTGTCTTATAGTAGAGGATGCAGCAAGATGTGCAGCAGCAGCTACTCCTTACCAGCTGCTTCCTTGCTGCAGAAGCCTTTAGGGGCCTTTAGGCTCTAAGAAAGATCTGCTGCTTTTGCTGCTCTTCTTTTGAGTATATTAATATTATATTTATTATATTGACGCACCAAACAACTCTCGCGCAATACCTAAGATGACTCTCTTCATACACACAGCCCCAAGAGCAGCACCAGCAGCAGCAGCAGCAGCTGTTTATAACCCATCTTGCCGCTGCTCTTGCCCCATGTCCAGCCCCAAATGCAAACCGATGCAAACAAATGGAAACGAATGCATGCATGCATTTGTTTGCATGCAGTAACACTAAACATTTGCTTCCCTTTAGCAATAAATATATCAACATCAATCTCTAACAGAAGTAATGGAGGCCCTTCGGGGGTATAGCCCCCCCAAAGAGCCCTTTGCTGCTGCGGATTAAGCAGAGATAAACGCATTAATTAATTGCACTTTGTATTGCTAGACATTCCAAAGAAAAACAAATATATTTAAGCTCCCTAGGGCCTGCTATAGTTAGTGCTTAGCCTTTGCCTGCATGCAAAAGGAAGCAAACGATATAATTTCTCTAATATTATTCGTCTAATTTAATTTAATTATATTTAATAAACCCTTTTTGGCTTATTCTAGTCTTCTATAATGCTACGCATAAGCTGCAGCAGCACTGCTGCAGCACTGCTGCAGCGCCGCTGCAGCGCTGCTGCAGCACTGCTGCAACACTGCTGCTGCAGCGCTGCAGCAGGAAGCCTTTAATAAATCCACAGCAACAAAAATAAAGAATTGAAATATTAAAAAGGTGATGTAGATAATATAAACAATATTTAAATTGTAGATAATGTAAACAATATTTAAATTGCTGCAAAGGTTAGAGGGCTGGGGGCCCCCTACGGCTTGGGGGGCCCCACGGGGGCCCCCATAGAAAATCCGAGTGTCTATACAGAGGAGAATAACAAGCACTAACATTTGTTGAAGTTATTACTTATATTATCTTATTTTATTTATGCAGGTTCTTTATTAGGCGCATCTGTAGCTGAAGAGGCTTTTGTGTGCGGCTGTATACCCTCTAGCAGCAGCAGCAGCAGCAGCTGTAACAGCAGCAGCAGCTGCAGCAGGAACAGTGGTATCAGCTGCAGCAGCAGCAGCAGCAGCAGCAATCTTCGCTTTCACAGCTGCTGATTCTTCATACTAACTCCCGGGTGTACAGGCAGCCACGAGGACAACTGCAGCAGCAACACCTTCTTCTTTGCTGCAGGCATTTGCTGCTCTTCTTCTCATTTTCTGCAAACTTCTCAGACAGGATTAATTAAGTGCATTAAAAACCTCAAAAAAGTTTCACAAAGAGCAGCAACAGCAGCAGCTGCTGCAGCAGCAGCTGGAGGAGCAGCCAGGGCGGCAGCAGCAACCGTTGCTGCTGCATGTGCAGCAGCAGCAGCAGCAGCAGCAGCAACAACAACAACAACAACAACAACAGCAGAAGCTACTTTAACACCAAAGGCATCCGCGCTTGTAGCAGCGGAAGATTAAGGCGCACAAGCGACAGCTGAAAGCGCAGCAGCAAGCGTAGCAGCAACAGCAGCCGCAAGAAACAAAGATGGCAGCAGCAGCAGCAGCAGCACCTGCGTTGCTCTGAAGGTGAACTTTACCTGCATGATCGCAGAAGCAACTAGCAGCCTTCGCAGCAGCAGCAGCAGCGGCTCCAGCTGCACCCCTGCTGCAGCGCCAGCTGCAGCAACAGCTGCAGCACCAGCTGCAGCACGGGCAGCAGCAGCACGAGGCGCAGTGAGAAGAGCAGCAGCAAGAGCAGCAGCAGCAGAGGCAGCAGCAGCAACATTGCATGCGGTTTTTAATAACTATTAGCAATGAAATTTGGTGCGAAACTCCGCAGCTATGCGGTGCCCGAGTGGCAGCAGCACTACGTAGACTATCAATGCTTGAAGGCCCTCTTGAAGCAGCAAAAGAAAAAGATAGAGACAATCAACAACCCTGGATATCTATCGAAGCTGCTACCCGCTAGCTGGCAGTACGTGCTCCTCTTGCTGTTGCTGCTGCTGCTGCTGCTAATGCTGCTGGTGGTGGTGCTGCTGCTGGTGGTGCTGCTGCTGATGCTGCTGCTGATGCTGATGCTGCTTGTGGTGCTGCTGTTGGTGCTGATGTTTTGCTGTGCGCGTGGCTGGCTGCTGTGGCTCAGCCTGCTGCTGCTGCTGCGGCTCAGCCTGCTGCTGCTGTTGCTGCTGTTGCTGCTGTTGCTGCTGCTGCTGCTGCTGCTGCTGCTGGGTGGCCTTACCCCCTGGAGCATGTTCTTTTAAATGTGTTTGTTGCAGACTGACGCCTGAAAGAAGTTCAACAGTCGGTGATGGCGGGGGTGAGTGAAGCTGCCTATACACCTCGAGCTGCCTATACACCTCGAGCTGCCTAAACACCTCAACTTGTTGCTGTTTGCTGCGTGCTTGCTGGCTGCTTTGTCTATTATTGTTTGCATTTGTTGTCTCCTTCTCCCTCTTTGCTTTGCTTTTTATAGACATCTCACTCTCTCTTCTTCTGTCTGCTTGTTGTTCTGTGCATATATCAATATCTACAGGCGTTTGTATCTATATACGCATACATATATATAGACATATATGTACATATAAATAAATAAATATATATATATATATATATAGACATATATGCATATAAATATATATGTATATATGTAGTTATATGCGTCTATTCGTGAATATTATAGATGTACATATAAATAAATATGTATATGTATGCATGTAAATATATACATATATATACATATATATATATATATATATATATTTATTTATTTATTTATACTGCAACACAGAACTGTCTACTTCTGTAGACTGAGGGTTTGCCTGCCCCATTTGCTGCTGTTTGCATGCAGTGATTGGCGAGCAGCGATGCAGTGTATGTGCAGCTTCACGAAGTGTCTCTTTATCTCTTTTTTTGTCTCCCCTGTCTTCAGGACCTCCTCTCTCTGTTGCTGTAAAGGCTCCAGATACCAAGCCTGTGCTGCTGCTGCACACGCATGCGAAGCAGCAGCAGCAGCAGCAGCAACAGCAGCAGCAACTGCAACAGCACGGTTTTGCTTCCTTCAAAGAGCCACTCTTGCAGGATGTGCGCGAGCAGCAGCAGCAGCAGCAGCAGCTGCAGCAGCAGCAGCAGCAGCAAGTGGAGCACCGCAGTGTCTCCTCTGGTGCTGCTACAGATGAACAAGCTGAGGGAGTTTGCATAAGAGCAGAGACACTCAGGGCGAAGTGCGTTGCTGCATTTGGTGCTGCAATTGAAAACGAGAAGAAAAAGGTTGCTGCTTTCTTCCGTAAGGCAGACGCAGCAGCAGCAGCAGCAGCAGCAGCATCTGTACAGACACCCCAAATGCTCCCTAGGCACTGCAGCGCAACGTCCTCTCGCGGCGCTTCCTCAGCTGTAGCAGCAAACCTGCAGCAACTAATCCAGAATAAGCAGCAGCAACTGCTGTTGTTGATGCAGCTGCTGCAGCAACATCTGCTGTTGCTGCAGCGGCAACAGCAGTTGTTGCTGCTGCATTTGCTGAGCAGCGTTGCTCACACCGCACTCCAAACTGTAACAGCAACACTCACTGCAGCAACAGCAACGGCAGCAGCAGCATCAGCACCAACAGCAGCAACACCAACAGGAGCAACAGCAGCAGCAGCAGCAGCAGCAGCTTGTTGTTTGGTTGTTGTTGCATGCTTCGTGTTTGCATATAGGAGAAGAGCTAGGGTTTCTAGAAGACAAACTGAAGGCTGTGGCTGTGGAGCTGAGGGCATTTAATGCAGCGCGGAGACGGAGACAGTCAGCAAAGACGAGTGAAGGAGACACTCGAGATGTTCTAAGGGAGACAGGTGGTGCAGCAGCAGCTGCTGCTGCACCACCTGCTGCTGCTGCTGCTGTTACTGCTGCAGATAGCACTGAAGAGAAGGCACTCAGCAGCCAGGTGAGGCCCACGAAGACTTCTCTTTCTTTTGTCCCCTTAGCAGTCTCCTTTGCGATGTCTGCTGTCTCTCTTGTGTCTATGCTGCTGTCTCTCTAGTTCGTATACTTATGCTGCTGTCTATCTTATCTTTATGCTGCTGTCTCTCTTGTTCTTGTCTTTATGCTGCTGTCTTTCTTACTGTTTTGTTTACTCTGCTGTCTCCTCTCCTTGTTGTATTTATTCTGCTGTCTCCTCTTCTTTTTCTTTTATTCTGCTGTCTCCTTTTTGTATTTATTCTGCTGTCTCCTTTTCTTACATTTTGCATGCACTGCTGTTTTGCTCGCTTTGGGGCTGTTTGTTTGTTTTACCTTCGTAGGGAGTGTCTCCTTTCTTCGTTTTATTATTTTTATTTTTTAATTATTTTTATTCTTTTATTTTTTTGTTCTTTTATTCTTTTTATTCTTTGATTCTTTTTACTTTTGTTTCTTTTTATTCTTTTATTTATTTTTAATTCGTTTTGTTGTTTTATTCTTTTTTTAAAATTCTTTTATTCTTTTTATTCGTTCATTCTTTTAATTCTTTTATTCATTTTATTCCTTCTTCTTTTTATTGTTTTCTTTTAATTATTTTATTCTTTTTATTGTTTTATTCTTGTCTTTGTTTAATTCTTTTTCTTTGTTTTAAATGCTGTATCCACCTCATTTTATTGATGAAGTTCTTCTCTTGCTTCTCATTTACCTCGCAATTTGTTTATTTTTGCATGCATTGTTTTCTTGCATGCATTATCATCTGCATGCATTATTTGTTTGTACGTTGAGGTAATTCTAAAGAAAAGAACAACAGCCCCAAACAGCTGCATGCATTACACAGCCTTCTTGCATGCATGCGTCTTTGCACAGGAAGCTGCTTATTTACGCCGCCTTGAACGTATATTGCTGCTGCTGCTCGATACACTAGAGAAGCTTGAGGTGTATAGACGGTTAAATCTGCTGGCGCTATGGAAGGCATTAAAGAAAAGAGACAAACAGCTGCAGCTCCCTAAGGGGACAGCAGTGCTAGACTTTGAAGCTATAACAAACTTCTTTAATAAACAGATACGTATACCACCCAAGACAAGAGTAAGATTACTCTTCCTGATACTGCGCTGTCTCTCTGTCTCCTCTCCTCTCTGCTTGCTTATTTGTTTCTGTCTCTGTCTCTGTCTCTGTCTCTCTGTGCCCCTCTCTGTCTCTCTCTGTCTCTGTCTCTGTCTCTGTCTCTGTCTCTCTCTCCTTTTCTGTCTGTCTCTCTCTTCATTTCTGTGTGTGTGTGTCTCTCTCTCTCTGTCGGGTTGATTGTTTGTTGAGGTGTATTCTTTATTTGTTTGTTCTTTTGTTTGTTTGTTTGTATTTGTTTATTTGCAACTGTGGAGTTGTCTTGTCTTTGTCTTTATTTCTATTGTCTCTGCTGTCTGAGTGTCTCCTTGTCTTGCGTTTTATAATATGTCTTTAGTTGCCCCTTGTCTCTGTCTCCTTTCTTTTGCTTTGCTGTTAAAATATCTCTTGTTATTCTCTGTCTCCTTGTCTCCTTGTCTTGTGCTAAGTGTATATAAACCTATATACACATATATATATATATATATATGAATCTATATATGTAGATTTATATCTATATAAATCTATATATAGATGCTGCTATATATATATATATATATATATGCTGTAACAGTGTCTCCTTGTGTCTCCTTTTTTGTTGTTTGTTTGCAGAGGGCGGCGCGAACACTCTATCGCCGCGTAGCTGGAGAGGATTCAGAGTTGTCTCTAAATGTCTTGCCTTTGCGTGCTCCTGAGGGCCTAGGGGTATAACGCTGTGTCTCTTTAGTGCAGCAGCAGCAGCTGCTGCTGCTGCTGCTGTCTCTGCTGCTTCTGTCTCCTCTGCCGTCTCTACTGTCTCTTCTGCTGCTGCTTGGCTTGGATTCAGATTGATAGGAGACAGAGTGCGAGAAGTGTCTCCTTTATTGTTTATCTGTAATGCGGGTTTAGAAGAGATAGACTGCAGCAGCAAATTGTCTCCTTTAATGCTTTGTGTGATTTTTTGTCTCCTTTTAGGGAGCATACTTCCGCCAGGAAGCGAGGGTCTCCTTTCTGGTTGGGTGTTTAGCTGTGCTGCTGCTGCTGACAGCAGCGCTGCTGCTGCTGCCTATGCCTCCCTCAACTGCTTACGACTATGAAGGCCTTATGGCTGTCTTCCCTCTCTTCAGGTGGAGACAGCGAGCGGCTTGCTGCTGCAGCGGACCCCACACCATTTCTATGTGTCTCCTGGGGTCACTGAGTGTCTCTGTCTGTCTTCTATGTAGCAGTCTCTCCCTTTGTCTCTTGCTTGTTTTTCTGTCTCCTTCGCGGCGCTGCTTGTTGTTTTACTTTATTTGCTTTTGTCTTCATGCTGTCTCTTTCATAGCCAAGGGCCCCCTCTGTCTCTTTATAGATCCCGTGCTGCGGTGTATGTCTCCTTTTATCTCCTTTTGTCTCCTTTTATTTACTCTTGACTCCTTTTATCTCCTTTTATCTCCTTTTGTCTCCTTTTATCTTTGTTATCTTCTTGTGTGTCTCCTTTTATCTGCTTTTATGTCCTTTTGTCTCCTTATTTGTCTCCATTTATCTCCTTGTGTCTCTTTATTTGTCTCCTTTTGTCTCCTTTTTGCATCTACATCTACAGGCTCGCCTTCGCCTGGTCCTTCATCTGGCTCGCCACCGCCTCTGCCATGGCGGTGATGGAGCACTACGGCGTAAACTATCGGTACGCCTCCCCACACTTGCGGTGTACATACACCCCAGCTGTATCTACATCCCAGCTGTACCTACATCCCAGCTGTGCGTACACCCCACGTGTACGTACACCCCAGGTGTACGTACACACCAGGTGTGCATACACCCCGGTTGTGAGTACACCCTAGTTGTACGTACACCACAACACTCCGGGGTGCTCATGTGGGGTGTACGTTCACCGCAAGGAAAGGGCAGCCGGCTTGGGTTTATTTGTTTTCTTTTCTTGTGGCCTCTACGTATTTATCATCATCATCCCTGAGGGTTTAATGCACACATACGACAACAATTTGAATGCATAAAGAGACACTAAAGCCTTCTCCATATGAGCTGGATGTACACCAGAAGAGGGGATAGTAGGGGGGAAGGGGGGCCAAGGGGTTATAGAGCGCACATGGCTGCATCTTGTACTAGCTACATTACTGAAGAAGCTTTTCTCTGTTGCGCTGCAGCTGCTGCTGCAGCTGTAGCAGCAACTGCTGATGCGTTAGCTGCCGTTGCTGCTGCAGCAGCAGGTGCTGTTGCTGTCGTTGCTGTTGCTGCAGCATGTTGGTAGAGGCATTGCGATGTATGTACTGCGGGGTTTGTTTGCGGGCTGTTTTGTTTGCAGCTTTCTGCTAGACTTGGCGCCGAGGGGACAGGCCTCAAGTGTCTCCTTCTTTCAAACTGCTGCGCTGCAGTTTGTCCTCACCATCTCTACTTGTGCTCTTTATCTCGTTGACTCTAAACTACGATTAATGGGAGACAGACAGATGTGAGAGGGGCCCATGCTGCTGCTGTTGCTGCTGCTACTGCTGCTGCTGCTGTTACTGCTGCTGTTACACGATGTGCAGCGGCAGCTAACAATGTTGTGGCGTGAGGCTGCTCCCAGACAATGCAACAACAGCAACAACAACAGGAACAACAACAGCAACAGCAACAGCAACAGCAACAGCAGCAGCTGCCGCAGCAAGAGCAAGGTTCCGGTTTTGCCTGAGCGATGTCATTTGCTGCGGTGTGCTTGTTGTGGCTGCAGGTACCACTATTATCCTTTGGGTTTGCTGCTGCTGCAGCTGCTGCTGCTGCTGTTCCCCTCTCGTTCTCTTTCTTATAAAGCGAGGAGACAAGTCTTAGAGGCTTTCTTTGCAGTGCTGAAGGCCGGGTAGGCGCGCTTGCTGCAGCTAGTGCTTCACCTTGCCTTCTTCAGAATGCCTACAAGTTCAGCTGCTGCTGCTGCTGTTGTTGTTTTTGGCTGCCGTTGTTGCTGCTGTTGCTGCTGCTGTTGTTGTTGCTTTCTATTCTGTTGCTGCTACTGCTGTGGTACCCGCGTCGGGCGAACCGTTCAGCGACCGCGATGTTGCTGCCGTTGCTGCTGTTGCACATATGCTGCTACCACTTTTGCTGCTGCTGCTGCCTTTGCTGCTGCTGCTGCATTGTTTGTAGTGTCTTCGCTGTACACGACGTGAAGCTCGTGGCTAATATAATTGGGGATGTCCTCACGTCTCTTGCGAAGCCCCTTGGGGACCTGCAGTATCTCTTCTGCTACTTGAGGTACGCTGCTGCTGCTGCTGCTGCTGCCGCTGCTACTGCTGCAGTTTGTCTTTCTGTTACGGTTGCTGCTTCTGCCCTTGCGCTGACTGATGCTGATCCTGGGACACCTTGCGGGCAGTTTCGGGTAGGACAAGGAGTTGCTGCACCTCGCTGCAGCAGCAGCAGCAACAGCAGCAGCAGCATAAGACCTGTCTATTGCTGCTCATGCTGCTTCGGCTGCTACACTGAGGTGAATGCGAACGAGAAAGTGCTGCTGCTGCGTTTGCTGAGAGTTGATGCTGCTGCACTGCTGCACTGTGCTGCTGCTGCTGCTTCTGTTGCTGTTGCTGCAGCAAGGGCATGGACAGCAGTGGCCCGGCGCAGTGCTACGGTGAGCCTCTGCGTGCCTCTCGTGGGGTGTATGTACAGCTGGCTGCTAGACTTGTTGCAGCAACTTAGGTGAAGACGAAATATCTGTCTTAGCTGTGGACGGCTACTAATGCTACTGCTGTTGTTGCTGGTGCTGCTGTTGCTGCTGCTGCTGCTGTTGCTGTTGCAGGTGATTCTCTCGTGCGGCCGCTGCTGCTGGGTCTGCCTTTCTACCTTCGACTCTGTCAATGCTTCATCAGGTAAGCAGCAGCATCGCAGCGCGTTTTGCTGCTGTTTATTTCTTTGCATTGTGGTGTACAGACACCTCATGCATCTCTGCAAAAAGCATATGCCCATCCATCAACAGTTGCGTTTGTAACAATGCGCATTTAAAGGACTAATATGTATACTTTTCTATTAGTAAATATATATTTATATATATATGTTTATTGTGTTTAGTTTCTATGTGTATATATAAGTATAGACCCTCTTACTGCTCCGTTTGGCTATAATAGGGGCATAGGCTGTAGCACGGAGGGAATGCTTCCCTGGCTTATTGCTTCATGCTGGGGTGTCTAGGCATCTCTGCAGTTTGTATAAGTGATTGCCTCTGGGGTGTCTAGGCATCTCTGCAGTTTTAGCTTGGCTGCCGCTGGGGTGTATACGCAGGTTCAGACTGTCAGAGCCTGGGGCTGGGCTCATTCACATAATGAACATGGCAAAGTATGCATGCGGCATTTTAGTGTTAATTACAACCAACGTCCCGTGGTAAGTAACCCCACACATCGCATGCATGCATGCATGCATGCATGCATGCGTTTAATTTGCATGCGAAGGGTGTTGTTTTTTGGGGGTTTGTCTGTAAGTTTTTTTCTTTTGAAGGAAAGATGAGCGTATAGTTGGTGTTGCGATCCAGTTGCATGCTTTTGTTTCTTCTTGTAAGCTGTCTCTACTTGGCGTATTTAATTAGAAACATATATGTATGTTTATATATCTATATACGCATATATATATGTATACGTTTATATGTATATATCTGTAGATAAACATACATGCATATGTACATGCAGACGCATATGTATGGCATGCACGTATGTATGAAATGTCAAAATACATATACTTACGTACTCCCACATAGGAATACACACACACACACATATATATACATATATACATTTATATATATATATATATAAGTCTATATATATATGTATAAATAAATATAAATAAATAAATATATATATAAGTATATATGTATATATATATTTGTATGTTGTGTGGGTGTTTGCGGCTTAGGTTGGACTTAGGAGTTAGTGTGTACGCGATGTGTTTGTTGTGGGTATTTTCATATTGTCTGGGGTCTCTGTTTATGTTATATTGGGATGTGCGCGTTGACTGGGGTCTCTTACCAACGCCTGATCGCTTTATTCGGTAGGTACACCGTAATAAGTTCATTATATTCATAATATTATATATATATATATATTTATTTATTATAATATATAATTACAAGCAAGTATAATCCTTTAAATAAATAAATATATATATATATATTTATTTATTTATTTAAAGGATTATACTTGTTTTTATATGCTTATGCTACTCATTTATTAATTACTCTTCAGCGTTATTATCTATCGCTCCATCGGCAACAAGACTCTAACTCATGCATATTTTTTATTTGTTTTATTTGGTTTTCTTTTATAAGCATATGAATTAATATTATTAAAACAACGTAGAAAAAGTAATAGTGTATATATATCAATATATA